ATTTTTTGAGAAGGTTTTTTCTCTGACTCGTTTGTTAAAGGATGTTTTTTAAACAACCACCAAAATCCCCCACCCACCTGGTTGGGTGGGGGAATTTTGGGAGTTGAAGTCCATACATCTTCAAACGGCCAAGGTTGAGAAACACTGCTTTAAAGCACCCTGGACATGGAGTAACGTTGCCATCCCTTTGCCCTTAACGCATTTTGCTGGCTGATCCTGCCCCGCCGAGCACGACACCCGAGCTTTGACGCCGTCTGAAAACACTCATGCTGCTTAATCTGAACCACTTCTTCCTTCCGAGCCCCGTGGCCATCATTTGGGTCTCCTGCATCTGAAGAAGTCGTTTCTGAGTGCAAGCAGGCAGCCTCCACCCCAGATCCCCCCCCCCCACTCCTTCTGGGGTTTATGGCGTCAGCTGCCAGCTCGGCTTGACGGGGACCTTCTTCTCGTTTCCAAAACCCAGCCCTCCACTTGCATCCTCCCGCCACGGCTCGAGGGGGCTTGCTTCACCCGGGTGCAAACCCGCTGGCTGTTCTACTGACGCATGGTGGTTCTGCTCCAGCCTGTTTCTAACGCCGCCTTGGGAAGGGAAGACGGAGGCCTGATAGATAGCCGTTTCCCACCCTCTTCCACCACACAATTCAGACCCTTTCCTTTGCAAACGGGGGGGTGTTTCAGAGGCCGCCGCGGTCTCCCTCCCTCCTCGACCACATCAACAGCTGCAGTCCCTGCCTCCTTACGATTCAAGGCAGGGAGCTTGATAGCATCGTTCGGAATTGGAGCCTCGTCAGGCAGAACGGCGGCCTGGGAAGTAGCCCCTTGGCTTGCGCAAGGGATGCGTGCTGAGCGAGAGGTGGAGGGTTTGGGGGTGCCGCAAGGGAGGGCAGAATGGGCGACCCACCAGGCATGGGTCTCGCCCGCCAAACCCAGACGTGGCCACGCCCTGAGCCAGTCGATTGAACCCCCCTGAGGACTCGTCAAGGGGAACGAGACAGGTTTTAAGCCTCCTGCTTCTGTACACCAATGCTCAGGACCAGCCCGGTGCAGATCCCAACAGACCT